CCCCCCTTCCCAAATGGCACCTCAATCTCAGACTTGGCAAATGGTAAATAAAATGCTCAAAACGTAATTATCATTCTCAACTGGAAATTCTAACAAAGAACTCAAAGTTCGTGGAAATATGACTTCTGTAAGGATTATATTTTGGAATCTTCACTGATAAATAATAATCCTTAAAAGTCCCATTTACAATGTCACTTCTCATTTGACCAAGTTGAACGATGGAATATTTTTAGACTGGCAGAGCGTTTAACACCCGAAGAAAAGAACACATAAGAAATATCAAAACAGCGGCGTAAGGCTCCAGAATTGCGAACCATGCGTGGTCCCATGAACATTTTATTGACTTTAACAACGTCTCCTTAATTGACAAAGGCAGTTTCCGAATAAGGAAAACATTAGAATCGTGGCATACTATGGTGACTCCAAATGCTCTCAACAATTCCTGCCCACTCCCTGGGCAATACAACATTCTTTTTGTACACACATTCATAATTTACATAGTCCATTCTTTTTATTTTTACTCATTTATATTCATATTTCGTCATTCATCTTTACCCGTCGAAGACTGTAGATATAACAGTCGAAAGCTCGTATATCTATAAGCATTTTTAGCCAGAGAGCGTTTTTAAATTTTTATTATGCTCAACCCTGGCTACGGTCCTTCAATATTTTTAGGAATATTTTTTGTTCATAATCTTGAGAACCTTGGAAAGCCTCGGACAATTTGTAGTACAGTGAAAGCCCGCGTGTAAGAACCTAAGTCTGGCAAAATAGGTTCTTGTATTTTGCGGTACTTATTGGCAATTTTAGGTTACATAGGTTCTTGTGTTCTTAAATTATATGTGAAGGAGATATAGTTATTGATTTCCAGCAAAAGTAAATAAACTTGGGTTTGGCCATGAATATACAGTTATTTATTTACTGTATTATGTATTTTCTTGTAATATAAATTCCCACTCCCTAAGTCACACTCCTTGACATTTTTATCATAATTTAACTGTAGTCCACATATAGGAGCCTGCTTGATCTTGCTTGGCTAAACAGGTTGTTATATATATTTTGGATATTAAAATGGCAAATTTCTGCCAGCAGGTTCTTAAACCACTAGGTTCTTACACGCGGGTTTTACGGTATTCATTCTAATTATGCTGTTAAGGCTTCCGAGATATTTTAAGCTTTCAATTATTTAAAACCCAGTTATGCCAAAAATGAAATTGTAGATTGAATCACCACGTAATGAAAC